GATCCCTATGGATTTTAAATTTCCTGTATAGCCCTTACAGAAATATCATACTAAGAATCATTGATACTTATTTATTTTCAGTATTAAAAATACTAGATAATAAGTAATTATCAATGATTCTTAATATGATATTTCTATAAGGGAGATTCCCATGGATTGTGGTGGGAATCCACATGGAAATTTTCAACAGGGAAACACCTAAATTTGAGTGTTAACACCCAAAATTGAGGCTTTTTTCATATCTTTTTCGTAAGAATAAACTACTCTTACGAAAAAAAACACCCAATTTTTTGTGTAAAAATATCCTCGAAAGGACCCTCAAATGTTTAGTGTAAATTCGAATCGTCAATTGACGGTCAACACAGAAATGAAGGTTAACCTTAAACAAAAACCTCAAATAAGTATGTTCCGTACGGGAGCTGTCGTCCGCACGGATAGCGGGCGGCGGGCGGCCGTGCGCCAGGCGCGTTCCGCGCGCGGGCGACTACCGCTCGCCGCGGCTTCACGCCGCCGCCGCTACGCGGCAGCGCGCCGAGCCGGGGCCGTCGCTCGCAGTTAAATTTCGGTGCGGCGCCTATATAAGACGCCGCGGGCGTCGACTCTAGGAGTTCGGACTGCGTTAGCGCATCTGTTCACTGCCTCGCTAAGGTATTATTTTGTGCTCTAGTTAACTTCATATCGCCTTCTTGAGTGCGTAAGCACGTTGGACTCTTGCCTCGCTCGAGGTATACGAGTGCATATTTGCACTGAACATCGCTGCCTTCAGAGTGTCACAGACACGCTAGCATTCGGGTTTAGGTTTCGCAGCCATTTAGAGTGCGCTTGCACGTTGAGCTATCGCCTCTAGAGTGTCCGAGGACACGTTGGCGTTCGTGTTACGAAGCGTATGGTAAACTTCACGGATCTCCACCTTCTCCATGCGATCGAGGATTGAGAAGGAGGCTTCGCGCGATCACTTCGGATTGCCTTGACGCCTCCACCGCGGTGGACGTCTCTCTTTGTGACTTCTCCCGTATTACATATACCGGGTATTAACGCCGCCAGAGCTTATTGCGGTCGAGCTCCCGACTCCGCGCGAGTCGTCGTTGTACTCAGGAACTCTGCTGCCAGGGACGCAGCATATACACGCGAGCAACGCTCGCCTTTACATCCGCTTAGGACTTAGCCGCTGCCAGGGACGCAGCATATACACGCCAGCCACGCTCGCCTTTACGTCCGCTTAGGACTTAGCCGCTGCCAGGGACGCAGCATATACACGCCAGCCACGCTCGCCTTTACGTCCGCTTAGGACTTAGCCGCTGCCAGGGACGCAGCATATACACGCCAGCCACGCTCGCCTTTACGTCCGCTTAGGACTTAGCCGCTGCCAGGGACGCAGCATATACACGCCAGCCACGCTCGCCTTTACGTCCGCTTAGGACTTAGCCGCTGCCAGGGACGCAGCATATACACGCAAGCCACGCTCGCCTTTATGTCCGCTTAGGACTTAGCCGCTGCCAGAGATGCAGCATATCCACGCGAGCCACGCTCGCCTTGACGTCCATTTCGGACTTAGCCGCTGCCAGAGACGCAGCATATACAAGCGAACCACGTTCGCTTCTTCACCGCTACTGAAGCCATACTCGCCGCATACGCGACTACACGCGCGAGTTACCCTCGCGCCTAAGTCTACGTCGCGCGACGTTACGATTCTCATTACTCCTCCGACAAGGGGGACTTCTTCTAGCGCGGAGGCGCTGGGAAGCGGTGCATCACCGCAGGGCCGCCGCTTCGATTGACCTGGCTCGCTTTATTCGAGTCGGCGACTCACCAAAACACGGAGCCGAAGACTCCCGTCTCAGAAGAATTTCGCGAATCACTTGCACCCCATGTCATCTCACGGGGCCGCTGGATAGCGGACTGCTAGCGACGAAGCCCGCGGTCTCCACGCGGCGAGCGGACACCTATCCGCATCTCGCACAACGAACCGGCCGCTCTCCACCCTCGGGCCGTTCGAAACAAAGTATAACCCTTAAACGGAAAAATATATCTTGTACAAACGATTGCAACTAGTCACCTTATGTTGATTTTAAATGAATTTAGCTCTTTTATTTGATTTCTCACTATTTTCGCACCTGAAAATTTACTCACAAGGAGATGACACAACTTGCTAAATCGATTTCTGAACGAGACATAGCACGTTTGCTAGCTGCGATGTTAAGCATCAACATCCTAATTGGGGTTTGTGCGAATGGGCCCTTTGTGTGTGAGAAATTACTGTACAAAGTTTGGGTTGCGAGACTGTATCACGGATATGGCTAAAAATGCGACTGTCTTTCAGCGAGGCGGCGTGGCCGAGCAGATTGGGGCTCCCACGTCGAAAATTTTTGAGCCGGAATCGAGCGTTCGAAACACGGCGGCGAAGTTATCCTTGTACGGTGTTTTGTTTTTTTTTTTTTTTTTTCTTACCTTAGGGCATGTAATTAATGTTTTTCGAAGATGATACATTTGTTTTGCATGTCTCGTTTTTATGCTATTAATCAGGGGTAATTAGGGAAGTGGCTTGTTTAACGCAAACACGAATATAGACACATATTTTGCATTGCTTATAATAAAATATATATTTTAGTACATCACTTTCATATGAAAAAATTGTATACAACATTGTCATATAATAAAACATTTTGATATAATAAAACATTGTCGTATAATAAAATATTGTCATATAATAAAACATTGTCATGTAATAAAACAGTGTCATACTCTTATAGAAATATCATACTAAAAAATACTGAAAAATTATTAGTGATTAAATATTACCAGTAATTCAGTAATTTTTTGGCCAGTACTTAATTTCTGGTGAATACTGATAATAAAATCACTGTTAAATATTGATAATAATCAAATACTGAGAATTATTATGCAAAGGTGAAAAATGAGAAAATCATAATGTTTACAAAAGTATACTTATATTCCTAATTTTCTCATGTCTCATAAACTACTAGATATCGAAGGTTTTCAACACATTCCAAACTTTCGTGAATCTTCTTGCAATAATTTCAATCCCAAGCGGTATACCACCAGTCACCATCCATGTCCTGACTCCGTTAAAGTGTTGCTTAACCTGACGATCGAGCGGCACGCGGCGCCCAATGACTCCAACGATATTCTTACGATTAATGCATATATAATGTACCTTATAGTGTTCACAGTATATTATAACATACCTAGCAAACACCAAATAATAGTTACATAATTTTTACTTGTTCCCTTGTAGAAATATCATACTAAGAATCATTGATAATTACTTATTTTCAGTATTAAAAATATTGGATAATAAGTAATTATCAATGATTCTTAGTATGATATTTCTATAGGGGAGAAGTACAAAAAATATGAAATAAGACAAATTAATGATTGCCACTAACGAGTGCTATTCTGAGTACTATTCTATAAGTATTACTCATGTAAAACATTACTGAATTTGAAATACAAGTAACAAAAATAACTAGTAAATAAATAAAATATATTCGTAATATTTTTTTAAATATTACTGCAATATTGCTAAAGTAATATTGCAAATTAATATCACTGCAAAGTCTCTGCAACATTGCACTGCAATATGCAATCTTGCATATTGCTGCAAGCTTCTGTGCTGTATGGGCATTGCTGAGATTCGAGCCTGAGACCTCTCCCAGGTAGCAGACTTACGTCAAAATGACATCCAAATCTAAGTAAGTTCAGGATTAAAAATAATCAAGGAATGATAAAAAATATCGTAAGAATATCGTCAAAATGATAGTCTAATGTTGCAGACCGATGACGACATTTTAGACGACATAATGACGTTTTATGACGTCTCTAAACGTCAATAATACATTTTTAAGACGTTATACAGAAACGTCATTAAGATGTCACAAAAAAAGACGTTTTAAACCCTTATAGAAATATCATACTAAGAATCATTGATAATTACTTATTTTCAGTATTAAAAATACTGGATAATAAGTAATTATCAATGATTCTTAGTATGATATTTCTATAAGGGAGGACGTCGTTATTTACCCAGCAAACACAGAAATATAACAGTTACATTCTCGCAATATAACGGAATGTAACACGCAATATAACACAGTTGTACCAGGTTATATACACGTTAGTAGTAATTTCCTACTCATATATATAACAGTAATATAACATTGCTGTAACATTGATGTAACAGTGATATAACATTGATGTAACGGTAATATAACGGTAATAACATTAATGTAATAGATAAATAACATGTTATATAATCTCAAACAATTATATAACGTCTATATAACATGTATGAAAATGTTTCAAATGTTATATAACTGTAATATTTACCATCAGTTGTTATATAACTGTTATATTTCTTGTTACTATATAGCTACATATGGAATTAAAAATAATAATTCAAAGTATTGTATACTTGTTACAAAGATGAATTTTATAAATATCAATTTTTTAAATTAATCGCAAGCAAAATTTGCATTATTTTACTTGAAATAATTGAAGTAATTTAATATTTATAATATTTACATTTGTAACAGGTATGCAATAGTTCCAACGTTGTAATTAGGAACCCAGCAAACACAATGTTACATGTAACGTACATATTAGTTGTAATTTCCTACTCAACAATATAACTGTTATATAACATGCATGTTATACAACAATTATATTGAGTAGGAAATTATAACTAACATGTACGTTACACGTAACATTGTGTTTTCTGGGAATGAATATAACAGAATTTATAAATTATTTATTAAATATATATGCATAATGAAATATCTTTATCAAATGGTGTATTATTTATAATGGTAACCGTACTTTTTCATATATACATTATAACAATTATAGAAACATTTTTTATTATAAAAACAATATTTTTTATATAAATACGGGAAAATATATTCCCTCTCGTATACGTGTAATAAATTTGCATAAATTACATGATTACACTGACATGTTCATTTTTAATGAGTACAACAATAAAAAAATAAAATTTGGTAAATATGTATTTACATTTCATATTATACAATTGATATCCACATTTTATATTGTACAACCCTTACGAAAAAATAAATACTCAAGCTTGCGAAAAAAGCATCACATGTTGAATGTAAAAACCAAACATTACAAGGAATAGACCCAAAATTGGGCATATTTTCATAAGTTTGAGTACTTTTTTTTTCAAAAAGAAGATAAAGCTTCAAAATTATTCTATTCGCGATTTACTTAATCACGTCGATAACAAAATTTAAAAAATTAAATGAAAGAAGTTATTCATTAAAATCATTTATGCTTTTAAAATTAAAAGTATGTAGTAGCACAAGGTTTATAATATTGAAATTAATTATGAATTTTGCCAATTTTTGAACATATATCTTGTTCGAGATTCGAACCAACTTGACGGTTAACCTCACGTCAGCGGGGACCGGTGACCGCTGCGGCAAGCATTTATTTGAAACAAACATAACTCGATGCTCTAATTCGGCACACAAGCGACGCATTTTGTCCTTTCAATGTTGATCGCACGTTCGTATCACGTGCGATCCCAGCATCGCGATGCCAGCGAGCCGTCAGCCGTCGTAAGGATCCGAGCGATCGCCATGGCAACGGATCGCACAAACAAGGATTCCGCGAATCGGCTGGCGGCTCGCGCCGCGAAAAGCTCGTGTCACTCGACAAATGCCTAAATAAGGTAATATAGACTCTCTCTCGTGGCGAAAACCGTTTCTCGCCTTGCTTCGCTGGTCCAATCCACTCGCGTCGTAGCCCTTTCAAAAATCGGTATAAATGCGACCGCTCAAAGCGGCTCCTCACTTCGACTGTACTTCTCTTACAAACTCGAATCAGTGAGAATCAAGTTCGTTTTTTCTTTTACACAAATCGGTCTGTTAACTCGCGGCGGGTTCTCTCGAGCTCACATCCCACTGGGGATATCGCAGCTCGCCATCGGAATCCGTGAGATTCCTTATCCTGGATCGCGTCTTCACGAGCTTTCGCTCTATCAGTATCGCTACGCGTTCCAGACTCTAGTGACTCGCCAGTTGCCCAACAGCTGACTTGCATCGCTCACGATCGGGCAAACCGAGTGGATTGCGGACCGAGAGTCGTTTACTTAAAGCAAAAGCCGTCAATTGCGCTGTCCGAACGCTCGTGCGACGTTCGGTCTCGAACTTTAATCAATTGTTAATTGTGCATCGTCCTATAGAGTAAGCCGTCGGTCTCAGCCGCGCGCGTAAACGAGCTCAGGGCCGCGCAGTCAAGATTTCCGACGTTTCGCGGCAAGATCTCCGTCGATTGAGGATCGAATCGATTCTCGGCAAGATTTCCGCCGCGCAACTTAAGGCCCTCGGCACACGAGCTCGGTGAAGATTTCCGATTTTCGCCTTACGTGAGACCGGACGAGCTGTGAACCGACAACTTGACAAGTTAATAAACAACAAACAAAAAACACTGAGTGACTCATACGACTTGATCTCCATCCAACCTCGTGGCTACTCATTTCCTCCGCACTACTCCTCTGCCTTGCGCTAGGCACAACCGGCGCTTTACGTCGGTCCTCGGCTGACCTCAGTCGAATCCGAAACATACCTAAACCCGAAAATTATTTTTGTTTTGATCTTTAAATGTATACATATACCTTTTTAGTATAAAACTTAAGATATATTTTTGATCAAATCGTAAATATTCGTGTTTAAAAAAACCAACAAAATCTATTAGAACAAAGTCTATTGTTCTAACTTTTAGATAAATTAACAAATAAACGTGTAGTAAGAAAAATAGTTTGCTTGTTAGCTTAACAAGTCAAATTGACTTCAAATAAATAAAAATATCTAAGTATATATATTCGGACATTTGTGTCCTTTTATCTTATTGATAAATGAAGAACGTAAAACACATTGCATTTATAACTAAATTTCGAAATTTATCATTGTTTCTATAACGTGTAAAGCTTGTGATATATATTAATAAAAACAATAATTAATAATATAATAATTACTATAATAAAGATGAGAACATCCCGTATGATAATGTCATTATTGCACTTCTTCCATTACAAAAAAAAATAGTTTTGGTTATATAATTCCTATCAGTGCAACACAGTGAATTGCGCAATCATTAAAATATAACTATATCACTATACTTAGAAGAAGCACTGAGCGACAAAAGCGTGGCAGAAATGACAGAGACAAATAGACAACATTAACATGAGACATTAATCGAGTTTAAATTAAAGTCTACAAGACGGAAATACTGTATGGCGTAATGTAGCATTTACATCGTCTTCTAAACATTAATTTAAGCCCTATTAGCATCGTTGTGTAAACGTATTCATTTTTTCCGTTAATTAATTATTTTCTTCACTATTGTCTTCATGAGCTTGTTTTAGTACTCTCTCATTTCTTTGTTTGGCAAAACGCAACCATTCCGCCACTATTCCATCAAATTCAGCCTCCGTCAAATTTGAATGATGTAAAGTGTTCTGCCACTTTTATATAATTTCTCCTAGAACAAAAAATAACATACTGAATTAATAAAATATATGAGAAAAGTTTTGAGATCAGTAGATATTTTTTTAAATAATACGTAGAATATACTTCTCATAATTTTTATAAGAAATAAATCGGCGACTTTAAAATTGTTGCGAATGCCTTTCCAAGAGCATTTCATTGCGCATTCGTTCGTTAATATTTTAGGAAGAATGCGCTGGATATTGTCTCTTGGATTATTCCCACCAATCCTTAACAGAAAGCTTTTCTGTAAACATAAAAACAATTAGATATCATGATATCATGAAAAATAATGAATGTTATACCGCAATTAAATCCCACATAGCATGAAGAACTAAAAAAAAAACTGAGTCGTATGTCACCAACTTTGAGTTCATTTTTAAATGCAAAAAGAATTCAACTTGTGAAAAAAATTGTTTTTACATATGATGATGACATCAGAGTTGATTATATATAACTGAGTTTTTCTTTGTTTTTTTTTTTTTAATTTTTTTCCTGTGCTATCTAGGATAATTATTAAGACTCCTGTGCCTTTATAGCGGTCATCTTGTTGACGAAAAGCTAATCGCAAACGAATTCTGACATTATCAAACAAATAAAACATCTTCGGTAAGGACGCAAAAGTTTAAAAATTAACTTTAATTAGTGCTTGTACGAAGACATACACACACAACGATATACATAAGATATACATAAGATATACATAAGATATACATAAGATATACATAACAAAGATATACATTTGGCAAATTAATCTATAAACTTACAAATTGCTTGACTGCTTCATCGGTGTTGCGTAAGAACGAATCAAAGTCTTGTATACTTCCAATTGTGTTCAGCAGTAATAGATGTCCGATAAGATTATCATTCTTATTTGACACAGAAGTGCGGTTTTTCATTATATCTTCGACTCTGCTTAGTCGTTCTTTTATGTCTTGCAACGTTAAAAGTAATGTTGCTTGCATACGTGTTATTTGCTTCAAATACTCTGCAACGATTAATATAACATATATGAAAAACACGAATATGAAAAACAGAGATACTGACTAAAAAAGTTGAATAGTTTTGTCAAGATAAGTTTTAAAACGTACCCGTTTTATATAATGTAAGAATTTTTTCAGTGCAAAGGAAATTCTTCCATTGGATAAGATGAATGCTTCAATGATGAATGTTTCAATGTTTATCTTAACAATATTGAGAACCTCTTAGCAACTATAGATAACATAAAATTACATTTCAAAAATAATGATAAACGTTCTTATGTCAGGTTGCGTTTTAAAATCTCACTCAACGGATAGGGCAGCATTTAAATGACCACTTCATTTTTAATTATAATAAAGAAATCTTAGGTTTCCGCTCCAATTACTCAATCAAATGATAATGTACACGTTGATTAGGATTCTGGAACGTAGCCCTATTCCAGATAACACGCAAGTTCTAGGGACAATTGAAGAACGTTCAAATGACGTTCCTATAACGTTTTTAGAATATTCCTGGGATTTCTATGATATCTGCCCAATACAAAATTTTTCATACATAATTATGTAGAATCATATAAAATTATATGTAGTTTTACATTATTATATATAACTATGTATTAAATTTGTCCATATATGTTAATAAATATTATTTATATATATAATCATGTATAATCATGTATAATTACATCTATAATTTTATATATAATTTTACATAATTATGCATACAATTATATGTAATTATACATATGATTATACATAACTGTGTATAATTATATATAATTTTATATGATTATATATAATTATACATAATTATGTATGGACAAATTTTATATATAATTATGCATAAAAAATTTTTCATTGGGTGGATATGATAAGTAATGCAAGGGGGTCTCAGGTCTGATTATAAAGCTCAGTTATATAAAATAAATGCACACATGAAATTATCTTTGTTATTTACCTATTGGTATACATTATGAAAGAAATTTGTAATTAATCAAACATGGCGAAAATGGATTGTATGCATTTAGGTATCATGTTCATATTATTTAGTTCTCGTTATTGTCTACGTTTACACGGTAAAGTTAAATTGGCTTAGATTAAGATCCACAAAACGCTACAAACGCTAAACAGTGCAACGCAGCATTTTTAGTGTTTCGCGGACCTATCTAATTTAAGCCGGGTTAACGTCGCCGTGTAAATGTAGACACTGTCAGTGAAAATTAAAGTATTGATGCCATATTGATCTAATACTATGTCTACGTTTACACGATGACGTTAATGCACTTTAGATTAGGGCACACAAGACGCTACTATTGTATTCTTTTATACATTTATTATTACTTTACTAATATTAGTGTACTTTTATGTTACGAGAAAAAGAGAATTCTTGCTCGTAAAATAGCGCTGTAATGCAATGTAGCAGAGAAGAGGAAACATTGTTTAAAGATCTTATAATGTTTCTTATGTTCTAATATTGTGTCACTGCACAAATCGACAGAAAGAGTTTCCTTTTTATCGAATACAGTTCTAAAATATGCCAGAAGAACTGTATTTTTCATAACGATGATTATTTTTTAATACGTACTTATTGTTGTATTCGATTCCTCTGATATTTCTTCATATGACGGACCACAATCTATGTTGGAACAGATATATTGGTATTTATATATGATACCTAATTTCTGTTGTAATTGCAACGATAATTTGGACAATAATTTTAATATTAATTTTACCAATAATATAATATCACTAATATATGTACCTTCAAATATTATGGGTATCTCGGAAATTTCCTGAGGGTTTGTATAGGTCTTTCTTTTTTCTAAAAATGTTTATAGTGTAGTAATAAAAAAATTTATATATTTATTTCAGAATAATTATGAAATTACATACCACCAGAATCACCAGAAGATTGTGAAGATTGAATGTCTTTCTTCGTAACATTAATGCTTCTTACGTTGTTTCCTTCATTAATACTTGGTACTTCAATGAACGTAAAATTGTCCGGACAAGATGGAATGGCAGAAACAACTTTATTCGCATGAGTCGCTTTTTCTGTGCAACATATAATTTTGTTTCATATTTTCTTTTATAATATGTAAAGACTAAACATGTTATTCTCGTTTTATCTTGCAAAACCTCCCAAAAAACAAGACAAAACAACGCAAAAAGAATTTACATTCTGAAAAGAATTCTTTCTGATTCTGAAAATGAACTTAGAATTGGTGGCATACGACTGAATTTTTTTTTTAATTCGCTATGCTATCTGGGAACGTACCAAACATTTCAGCTACATATACAAATAATTGCAAAATGTCTATAAATAAGGGATAATATAAGAGAAAACTTGAAATACATTGTATTTTAAATAAAAGAAGGAAGTTGAAATAATAATGTGCATTCCAGATAGCACAGAAGTTTCACGGACGTATTGCAAACATCCTAGGAACGTTAGATCCTTCTCTAAATGTTCTTAGAGTATCTCTGGATCTTTTATATTATTATATTTAGGATAATTATTATATATAAAATGTATCTTGTATATAGTAATTATGCATTATTTTGAATATTTCGGTTGTTTGGACGGTTATTTCGGCTCTTACTTTTATATGGTCGAGATTTAACGCTGTTATTCTCTTCATCTTCGCTGCTGTAACGATTATGTGAGATATGTTGCCTTCTGCCGCAACCCAATCTATCCTCATCAATTGTTTCATAGTTTGAGTCAGCTGCAGTCTTTCTTGCAGATTCTAGGGATGCTAAGTGAAGAAAAAAATTAGTTAATATATCCTTAGTACCTGTATACAGAGTGTCGTGCGTAAGACATGCCAAAAAAAAATATAAGTAGAACAGATAAAAGTGAACAAAAATTGTACAGGTCATTTTTCAAACAACCACGTAAAATTTCGAGATATTAATAAAAATAGTTGGACAAATTAGAGCGCGCGACGCGACAGGCGAGGCATACGGCTCGCCGCGGCCGTCGCCGCGGTTGAAGAAAATGGACGAGCGTACGTACACATACGCATACACGGAGCTACCCATTTCCGTATGTCAAAAAACCCACCTCTCTAACCTATAAGATAGACCCGCGAGCAATCGTCCATTTTTTTTCGCCGACTGCGGCAAGCCGTATGTCCCGCCTGCCGCGTCGCCGCGCTCTAATTTGTCCATTTTGATTAATATCTCGAAATTTTACATGGTTGTTTGAAAAATGATTTCTACAATTTTTGTTCAGTTTTATCTGTTCTACTTATATTTTTCTTTTGGCATGTCTTACGCGGGACACCCTGTATAACAATGCAAAAAATATAAATATACTTACAACAGTGTTTTATTAAGTCAACCTCGAACGTAATCCAAGTGTCGTAATTAGGATTAGTATAATTAGCAATAAAATTTGCAGCGTTTGCTGTACGTGGCGGCCACATACATAGTTGTTTTTTTCCGTCGTTTACAAGCCATGACGTTGGTATCTCGGAAAATGTCTTATCTACAATAAATTGTACCACAGAGTATTTTTTATTTCCCTGTGCATATACATCATCTATTGCGTTTCCATATGATCTATCAAAACAGAAAAGTTTTTTAGTCACAAATATTTTACAATTTAAAATATATAAATTTAATATTATCAATTGTCATACAGCTACAGACATTAGCTATGAAAGTTATATAATATGAAAAAAAAATATTGCTGTAATGTATAATTTTGTTAACTTATTACATTACGAAAGTTTACTTTCTACATTAATATATAAAGAAAGTGAAACTTTTTTGGTAGAACACAAGTCTTTAATGTTTTAACAAGTAATAACCAATTAATATTATTTTGTAATTTTAATTAAAAATAGCACCAGAGAAAGAAAGAGTTTAGCACATAAAAAGCATATTTACAAAATTAAATATTTTCAAATACTCACATTGTAACTTTTGACTCAATTGAACATGGAAAAACTGTTACTTTTCCAAGTATGCAAGTGAGCAAATATTTATTTACTCAAAACGAAGGAAAACAAAGGTTATAATGACTTATTTACAATTAAACTTGTAACATTTCGTATGAAGTTAGTATATCAACATACGTATACAAAAAAGTGCAATATCTAATTATTAGTATGAAGAAGTGGTATACTTATATAATAGTCACTTTGGTTAATGTTTCTCAATAATAAACATTTTTTTTTAATTGCATTAAAAGGAACTGATATACTTTCTGCAGCAGTTGTGCTTGAAATTTTAAAAATACCCAGTTGTTTCGAATCACATGGCTCAGTAAACAGGGATGTAACATTTAAAAAACGTTTTGCACGAAAAATTAATGTATTTTCCTCTTCACTTACATCCAAAATAAAAACTACTGAACCATCATTAAGCAAAGCACACTTATCTTTTTTGGTTACTGCAATTTTGAAGTTTTTATATTGAATATGCGAAATTCTTCTCTTACTTGTATAAACAACAATTGGATAATGGACAGTGGGATATTGTGTAATTGGTTGCTGCAGTTCTTCAAAAATACGATTTGAGATTTCTTGTAAAGGTTTTCCACATTGACACAATTTTCTTTTAATTCTTTGCATATAATTTTCATATTTAAAACAACTGAAATTGTTAAGACACCCAAATGTTTTCACATCATTAGCAATAGGAATGAGATTATGAACATTATGTGAAAGATATTCTTCACCGTAAATAACTCCATAGTTGGATACAAACCATACTAATAATGAATGTGCATAAGCAAGAAATGTGCTGCACATTTCTGGGTCAACCATTATTCTTATTGCAACACTGAGGGATAGAAAGTGATTATAAAAAACTGCGGTTAAAATTGATTTCCAAACTTCTGGTCCCGTATACAATAAAAATTGACGTAATTCCGTAGCTTTCCATCTATCAATATCAGTTAAGGTTCGAGGCTGCCTTGCAAATTCCGAAGGAATGCAAGGTTTCATATTTATTAAATATTGTGAAATTAAATTAATGTTTTCGGCACTTAACCTAATATTTGTTGCTCCTCTGATCCACAATTGCAACAACCGTTTCATAATACCTAAGCAAACAAGATGCATATAATCGAGCGGTATTTGTGAAATCATTCCAATAGAAAGATTTTCCAATATAGAATCGCCTGTGTGATGCTCAATTTGAGCTCGATTTTTAAACGAATCATTTGTACGTAAGACGTTATTTGTTTCAGAAAAAATCACTCTATTTTGTACAAAGTCGCCTTCTTGTATACATTTTGAACATGAGAAATAGCCTGTGTGACTTTTTGTATATGTAATAAATGATTTAGCTGGAGCATCACACAGTATTGCTTTAATATTAATTTTGTATTTATTGTTACAAACAGTTATGCCATTTTCGGATATAAACATAAATTCGTCAACAAAACTGGAGAGAAAATCATTAGCATTGCTCGGTTTACACATACCATGATATATACCAATTACTAATGGCGATGTACAAATACCAATATCTTCAATTGATATCATTATAGGCCAGAATTGGCTGGAAGAACTTTTCGAAATGGGTAAACCATCAATATTTATATTTATTTTAATTTCATCTGTCTTTATAAATTTGAAGTACATTTGTATGGATCGTTCTAGAGCACGTGCAAGGCCAAAATGTATATAATGACCATTATCGATATTTTCTACATTTATGGATGCGTTACGTGGTGTATTAACTAAAACCCTAACATCACTAGGCAATTCAGTATGACCATGTTTTCTTAATATTCCAAGTAATTCATTGGCAGTATTATGAGGAACGTTGCGTTCTATAATCAATTTTTGTAAATCTTCTCGTAAGCTTTGCTCGTTCTTATATGTGGAAATACAGGGTGTCCAAAAAGTCTGGAAACACCTGAATAATTTCCCAGGTAAATTATTTTTGAAAAATGTTAAGGTCACTTTTGTGGTAACTTTTGACGAGGAATTCAATGGTGACCTTGGATTTGACCTTGACGATGACCTTGAAGGTTATTTCAAGGTCAGCTCAATTTTTTTAAATGGAAACCCCCTTTTTTGACGTCGGTAATCGAAAGAGCGGGAAATTTTACGTCCGAAAACATTATAAGGCCATAAATCGTGGTTGATCTTGAAGGTCATTCAAAGGTTATTTAATTTTGAGGACTGGATATCTTCGAAGAACGCAGTTAATGAAAATAGCTTACTTTAGTTATTTTGTTTAATTGCAATTAGTGGTGACCTCAAATTTGTTGGTGTCCTTTAAGGTTCAAATTTCAAGGTCAAATTTTTTTTTCTAAAAACCTCCTCATTTGTCGTCGGCAATTGAAAGAGCGGAAGTTTTCATACTTTTACTTTTAACGTTACCCAGAAACAACGGCGGGGACGTAGTAATTTCTGTTCCCTTTGGGGTGCTTTTAAAATATTGTTTCTAAACATCTTTTTTACAGCTTTATTTTTAATTTTTTTTGCTTTTCAATAATTAACATAGCGTCTTATTCTTTGATTTTGAATATGTAGCTAGCATTTCAGACATAAACAAATTATCTAACATGAAATCCAACGTAAAGAACTTGCTAGAAAATACTTTTTTAATATGTATTAAAAACGTGGCTCAAAAATAACATAAAGTATGCTGTGTAAGTTGTCAGTCTAGTGTTACGGTTTAAAAAAATTTATTTGTTCACATATTTTACAAGTTAAGGATGTTAAAAGTTTATTGTAGGAATTTCAAATGAAAATTTAAATTTCTTTAAGTTGTAAATGCATTTTTCCGGTAAACAAGTTTCAATCTACAGTTGAGTTAAAATTCCAAGATATTTTTTGACACTGGCATAGCTAGTAAAAACTTTCAAATATTTCATTTTTAGTTATTTTTATCATTTCTTTTTTAGTTAAATTCATGAAAATTTAACGATTATGAATTTTTATTTATAAAAATCCGACATTTGTTATTTGTAAAAAAGTATGCGTAATAAAGGCTAATTGTACTAGCTTTACGTTTACAAATCAGAAAAACAATACAAAAATAATTGTGTTCTTTTCATTTTTTCAAAAAAAAATTACTGTAATTGATTAATGGTAAATTTGACCTTGAAATAACCTTGAAGGACACCAACAAGGTCGAGTTTGAGGTCACCACTAATTGCAATTAAACAAAATAACTAAAGTAAGCTATTTTCATCAACTGCGTTCTTCGAAGATATCCAGTCCTCAAAATTAAATAACCTTTGAATGACCTTCAAGGTCAACCACGATTTATGGCCTTATAATGTTTTTGGACGTAAAATTTCCCGCTCTTTCGATTGCCGACGTCAAAAAAGGGGGTTTCCATTTAAAAAAATTGAGCTGACCTTGAAATAGCCTTCAAGGTCATCGTCAAGGTCAAATCCAAGATCACCATTGAATTCCTCGTCAAAAGTTACTACAAGAGTGACCTTAACATTTTTCAAAAATAATTTACCTGGGAAATTATTCAGGTGTTTCCAGACTTTTTGGACACCCTGTATATGTCGATACAAGTAAATTTTCTTGTGGATCAGGAATACGATCGTTATTGTTTTCAGGCCACGACTCTATTGATGACACCTCCCATTGATTTATGTCTTCAAATGATACATTATTTGCACAAGAAATATTATCGGAATTAACGTCAATATTTACTGATATTTCAACTGTATTACGCTGTATACGCTACATTTGATACCGAAGATTCTAACGAAATGTTTCTTTTATTAAAATGTATATGTCGATTAATAACCTGATTCCTTCGTCTTTTTGATAAATATTTGACATCTTTAGGCATGATAGACGTTGAAAGAATTGTGCCTATAGAAATATTACAGAAATAAATACAGCTGTCATAGAGGTTGAGAAAGAGTTTATGATGAATTTTAGAACGCAACTTCATTTTACGAAAAGAGGAAATTCTTTCTCACCAAGTAGCAATATTGGAACAGAAGAAATATTATTTAAAGATGTTAAATGTTTTTTCTGATAAGATATTCCGATAAAATATCGAAGATTCCTTTTTCTCCATTTTGTGAATAATACGCATTCTAAAATTTACTAAAAACTCTTTCTCAAAGTGTATATATACGTATTAGTTTGCTTTTAAAAATATATAGTAAACTATAAGTCCTCAGAAATTGATCAATCACAACCGAATATGAAAAGAAATATCGATTGTGATTTTACAATTTCTTAAAGCTTTATTACAAATATTGTAGACTACAATTGCACACGGTGCAAGTTTCCTTCTTGGATTGATTATTATATTAAAATATTGCGTTCTAATTGGTGCATCTTCGTAAATGTATTAATTATAACGCAGTATTTCTATCCAATAAGCAATTGCATCAACCAAACATTGCATCGTGTATTGCTGATTTAAGTTTCCACAGAAGGTTAAAATCCCACAGCTTAAAATGTCTCAGCAATGTCTCCAGAATATTACAATGTCTCCAGAATATTCCGGAAACATTGTAATTATTTGGAAACAATGAGACATTTTGTGCTATGTAGGATAAGAACAGATTAAAATTAAATTGTGTTCCGCTTCATATATATGCGCGCTTTATTTTATGAAAGAGAACAAAGAGTCAAAATAATGTTAATTTGATGTTATTTTGACTAAAATTGATAGAAATTTGATTAAAATTTGATCGCATTAACATTATTTTGACATTTTATTATCCTTGGGTGATCCGATTTTTATGTGGAAACTGACTGCGTTGAGCGAAGTCACAATAGTTGAGCAATTCGTCAACGTAATTGATCTGGATTTTGAGATCTAACCAATAATCCAATAATGTAACCAATAAGGACCAATAATCACTGTTTGTTCATTAAACGCTTTTCCCGCTAAACGCACCTTTCGCCTATGGCTTAAGGCTCCTGTGTGCTCTTCACAGTGACTTGTTTGATAATGTTAAAAGTGACAAATCGCATAGCAACTTTTATTGTGGTATACATGACACTACAAGAATTTATATATAAAATAAAACTTGTTATATAACACTTGTAAAAATATTAAGATGTTCCGGTTTAACCTCAATAATTCAGTAATAATTAAAAATTAGCGTAAAAAATATA